ATTTAACAGTTTATCTTCCATAGCAGCCTTCCCTTGCAACCATATGTAGGTTTACCTTTGGTCATGGCTCATACAGTTTCAGCTATTTGTTTTCATTAAAGAGTTCAATATCTCTTTACATTTATTCCAGGAAGCAGCTATTATGTCTGCCAGCTTCAAAGAGATTTAATTCAATTATTAGCACAAGAGGGTTTCATAACTACAGAATTATGTTTCATTAGTCCTATCCATCAAAATATGCTTGTTGGCATCATGAGAAAGTTAAGACACTCAACATATCAAGTTCTAAGGTCATGCAAATAGATTCTATGCCTGCAGCTTGTCAAGTTCATCCAGCTGGAACACCCGTGGGTCAGGGACAATACTACATCTATTATCTATTGGAAAGAAATATCTCCTGTTGTACAGAGAATGAGCATAAATTTGTGAAAAAACATATTTTTGGAAAAAAAAGAAGCAAGTTGCAAAAAAATCAAAACAGACTCTGTAGCAAAAATAGTCCTCAATTTTAGGCTAAACAGCTGATAGAATGTGAACTTTTTTTGGTGATAAAATTCAGTCCCATATTCTCAGTAGAGTTCATATCAGTGCTTTTCTTTTTACTGTGCAGCATTTTTATAACACTGCAAAAAACTTCTTTAATCATATGTGTGACACTACTAATTTAGATAAGAAGATTATAATTTAATTCACACAATAATTCTCACCACATTTTCATGTTAATGTTTCAAAAAAAATCAGAGTCCACCCTAAACAAGATGTGGCCAAAAGTAAAGAGTTCTTTCAAGCACTAGATTGCACACTTCCAGATTAAGTTTTTAAAGGCAGGCTATTAAAACAGTCTCTTACATCCTTTCATATATAATTTTAACACATAAAATATCTTCACAGGGGAGTACAGAAGAGGATTAATTGTGAGTTGAACCAAACCAGAATTGAACATTTTTTTTACTGAGAAGGCTTAGGAAGAGATGCTGCTGTATAATTTTTGTCCAACTTCACAAATACTTTCCAAAGAAGTAAGACTATGCCATTTCTAATTGCATACTGAAGGAAAACAGCTTATTAATGGTGAATGCACCATATTACTCTTTAAACCTTAGTTTAAAAAGCAGATGGAATTCATCTTTGTGGGATATTTTTCATCAGTTTGTTTGAAGTTGGGTGTTTGATATAGAAGTTTTTAGTTGGAAATACCACAAAAATGGCTAATAGATGTCAGTTTATAGTCCTCACTTGTTGCTTTTTAATCTGAGCTAGAGAGACAGAGGAAATCCCGCACAGAAGGAGACTCTTTTAACATCAGGTACACGATACTGAGAATGATGGTAAAAATTGCTCTGAAAGGCCAATGCCCAATCCCTCGGTATTGGAAATACTGATAATCACATCACCACAGTCAAATTTAGCACCACAGAGATTTATATGTGTACAAAAACACACTTCATGCCCAAAAATTGTTACTCCGAAGTGTATTGTTCAGTCTAGGAACATATCTGTATCTACTGATACCGTGATAAATATGTTTTTCTTCATCTCAATCGTCAAAAATGCCTTGTTTTTTAAAGGAAACTTGGCTGACAGTCCCTTAGATGTCAACTTGAATCTTTACACTATTCTGGAGAAAACACTGCAGCCTGGAGTTTATTTCAATACACTTCTTACATTAAATTTGAGACCAGAGGCATCTTTTTAGCTGTTTCTCAGATGACTATTACATCATCCCATCAAAAGGACTGTGTCAAGAGCATATAACTTTCTTTTTACTAAGCAACATATTTTTAATGGTAGCATACACCACTTTGCAGATTTCACATTCACAGTATTTCTCATATCGTTTCAGTTCTTAAGGCCTACTAAGGCACTGGAGCCTTGAAATAGTTAATGATACCTATACAAGTAAACAATAATTCTTCCCCAAAACTCTACGATTATATTAACTCCTTATTCTTCTAATTACAGCCAATTCAGAGGCAATAATCAAGCTTCACTTTTTCTCTACCCATGATCAAAGTCTGAGGCAGTTTCTGTTCTAAATATGAGTACACGATTTTCAGGGGTATTATTCAGAGAGTCTGTGTCTGTGTATTATAAAACAAACATTCAAATCCATGTTTTGAAATACTACCTTGAACATGAACTATGAAAACCTGGGCTTATAAATTTGAACATTCCCTATTAAAGATCTAAGGAATAATTAATTATATTTATCAAATATTAGTGACAGAGCAGTCTTTTACAGTTTGTATATTCTGCTTTCCTCTTTCATGCTGTCTTATTTCTGAAATGGAAAAAAATATTCTAAGATCTACACCAGACTGTTGAGAGTATGCTTTCTGAAGAAATATCATATCCTAACTATGCTGTATTTACTGTTTTAAGATAGTGCAAGAGGAAAAACTGTGATCATCTTTATGTACAGATTGCTGCGGTAACATTGCATCTCTTTAACATAAATGGACATTAAATTATAAACTGCCAGTCCACATTAAATTATAAACTGCCAGTCCACATTAAATATCTGTAACATTAGATATAACTCAGTAGCTGGATTTCTAAGGAAACTGATACCCCTCTTGCTCTCTTGTTAGAGAATGTGCTGCACCATAAAGCACTGCTTATCTCCAAGCATAGCTGTGCACACAGAGGTTTTGAGGAGGATCTGGTACCCTGCCTGGGAAAAGACTGAACTCAACAGTTATTTTGTGCTACATATTGCAGAACCCACTGTTGCTGAACAAAGAGCAAAAGCCAAAAAGAAATGGTATCTAGGGTCTTATGTTGGCCCCCCAGTCCTGCTGGGGTGATGAGATAAGTAGCCTGGGTGAATTATTTTAATTTTCTAGCCAAAGCAAACTTTTCATCTGAATCAACAAATAACAAGAAAATAAAACAAAAATGAAAACAATGATAAGTGTCCTATATTCTTGAGCTTCTCTTCATCTCTTGGTTACAGTGCTATGATTCTTTTGTTAGCTCCGTCTGGCACAGGCAAACCTGCATGAATCTGGACACTCTGTTCCAGGCCTGAAGCAGAAGAGCTGCTGTTCATTAGGACCTCAGATTTCTGATCTGCTGCCTCCTCCAAGGCTTTTCTCTCCTCTTTTTCTCTAAATATTGGTGTTTTGTTGTGTTTTTTTTTTTTTTTTTTTTTTTTTTTTATAATTAATTTTATTTAACTGAACTTCAATGAGCTTTTCATATTCCCCTCTACTAAATGATCCCCAGCTATATGACCCTTTTCTGTTAGGCCTTCGGATGAGTCAAAATATAACAAATAGACCTGTGTTCTTAAATGCTACACTGTTATTGGTGAATTGAACACACTATTTTATGTATTGATGCTACATGTTAATTAAAATAGCACATAATTCCTTAGGAATTCTACAATCTGTGCAATCTTTTTTCCCCCTAAATTTGAAGTAATCTTAAACTGGAAGCAAAAACAGATGAACAAATTTTTGTTACAGTAGGTTTTTAAGAGTTTTACCAGACACTTCAACATTTTCTGTTATATAGATAGGGAAATGAGATACATGGCAATGATGAAGAGCAATTATGACATTTTTTTTATCATGCTAATAACACCTACGTGTAATCACATTCATTTTAAATTTCCTTTATTTGAACCTCTTCAGCTTCAAATTGTTTTTCTACAACTACAGCCTAGCAGTGATACAAGTACTATCATGTGAAGAGGGGATACCATTGTACCTCAGAAATGTACATCAAGGAGAATGCTTTAATAATATATACGTTGTTTTGAAAGTGATGCTCCTATTCATTTCTATGGAAACCCAAACATATACAAAGAGCACCATAACACAATTTGATAGAACAGATTTTTGGCTGCAAGACACTGTTTTTCTACATAGTCACCACCATTAGCCAATTTGTGTGGATGAGCTTGTCAGGAGAGTCTTCATTTTGGAGTGTGACAGCTGTACGTGACCACTGAAAATATGGCATGCCTTTTACATAGCTGTTGCTACTGCTGAAACACACCACTCACTGCCTCGTGCTCACATCCACCGATTGGTCTCCATAAACGTTCAGCAAGTATCAACGAATGTCAATGAATGCAATTTTTTTCCACATGGAGGAATTCAGCATTGCTTCTTCGCCTCATCGGCACTTCCATGTCAGACACCATTTTGTCAGACTGCCCCTCCGCTGCCATCTGTCACATGGCCATACCACCAACATTTGCCTCTGATGAAGACATCACTTTGGGATCAGCACTTGTATAATTTACCTCAGAGTTCAAAGTATATTTTGCAATGACTGCATTTAATTGTAAATATCTTCACTGCTACACATAAAGAATAATAGGATAGAAAAATAGAATATTTGCAAGGCTATGGCACTTACAAAGCTTTATAGCGTGTTCGTTAAATTTTCTACAACAAATATTCATTTTTATGATCAATTCTTATCTTCTCCCACAGCTATTCGTTTAAGGCTGTTTTAGACCTCCAGTCTTCCCTTATTCTTTAGATTTCTGTACATCCTGACATAAAAATGTGTGCATTTCAGATTCATGTGAACTTCTTGGTATTTTCACTACAGTGTGCGTTTTCCTGTGAATATTCTTGTAAGAATTCTTTTTTTTTTTTTTTACCACAGAAAAGCTTGATCACAGAAGATACAGGTGAAAGAGCGATGAACAGAGTCGCCTGCACATGAATTGTGACCACTCATATCTTTGGGAAAATGAGTTAAATTGTAACCAGAAAACATTCCTGTCCTTGGCAGTATGACGCACTGAGTGAATTATCACAGTAGTTAAGATGATGAATTTAAAATAAAATAATTAGCACCATATGATTTTTGGTTGTTAGCCATTTTTCTTGTTATGATATCAGAAAGAATGATAAAGAAATTATTATCGACAAATTTATACTAGTATCTCTTTTAAAGAAATATGCCTAGTATGAAATACACTGTTTTTTCAATTGATACTTTATGATAATGGTCAGTTATAATAGGTTGCACCCATCCTCAGCAGAGAATCCTGCAAACAAAAAAAAAAAACTACTTGCTGGTTTGTACTCTTACAATATACAATGTATACTTATTATACTCACACTGAATATACAAGACAGGCAAGGAAAGGAGAAAAATAATATTTCCTCTTACAAACATTTTGTAATATCCTGAAGCGTCATGTGGATTAATGAATTGGCATTTGTGTATCAGCGAAGATTCTTTGTTCACATCAACCCCTTACCTGGGCTCAGGTAATGTTATTTGATAATTTTAAGAAGGCCAATTATTTGGTAAACATTACCAAATGCTGTCTTGTAAGAAATTGTTTTACCTTCAAGCTATGACTTCTGTCCTATTCTATATTGTGAACCAGTGAATGTTACCCATAAAGCTAGGAGAGATACAAGGAACATATTTCAACTGTACCTGTGGGTGCTTGAAATCTTGCACGTAAGCATGCAGTATTTTAAATGAAGCATGTCTCCAAACATATCTGAACATCTATTTTAAGTAATTTTGACATCATTATACATGAATTGTGGCAACTACAGAAGAAGGTCTAGTTTTCTTGCCACTATGCAATTACTGAGCTGTATTTCAACAGTTCACTCTTCTTTAGAATGGAAAATAGCATATGAAGATGGAGACAGGAAATGCCACTTTCTTTTCATTTAGGGATATCTTGGAAGAAGTGAAGAAGGAGAGGAAAAATATTTTTTTCATGTGATTTTTTTTTACAGTTCCCACGTGATTTTAAAAGTAATGAGTTAAAGAAAATAAATCAGAAATAAAATTTTGTCTGAAGAAATGATAATATCAGGCTAAAAATACATCGTTATCAAAAACCTAAATGAAAATATTTGCTGATGCTCATATAGTTTCATACATATCTAGTACATGTAGAAATGTATTATTTTTTCCCCAAATTAACTTTTTGTTAATCATCTGCAGATTGGCAAATGCAAAAGTAGCACACCAAATCACAAAGTCATTGTTCAAAATGGCGTTTTAAAATCCTGCAATGCATGAGTGATCTGCAATCACTGGAAAAGTGCTTTTGTGACATTTTTAAGGAAGGTAAGAAGAAATTCCACAAATCCATGTATATTAGAATTGAAGCATTTCTAACAACAACTGAAATCAAAATATCTATGGAGTATTAAAAATGGAGTTGTTGAGTTTTTAAAGTAGAATGTTGACTATATAACAACAGTGCAGGGCTTTATTCAGCACCTCAAGAATTGCCTCTACCCAATAGTCAATGCAGAAATACTTAGCTAATAAGAAGGCCCATAGATCATTTACTTCTTTCTGTACATACACAGAAGCTATTAATACTTCATCTGGAATACGTATACAAAACAAATGCTCTGTACTTTCGCTTGGGCATCTCTGTCAGTATTTTTATGTCTGGAGAAAATAATTGATAAGTAAACAAATGACACAAAGTATAAGAGTCCTCTCCAACTATTAAGATGACATTAGTTATGAAAATGGAGGAACAGAAAACTAAGATTTCTTTTCTGAAATCATTCTGTGTATATTGTTGAAAATAATTTTTCTGAATTTTGTCTTTGTTCTCTCTACATTTTCCTCTCCAAATGACTATATTTGTAATCTCATACCATGCAGAACAGCTATTATTTGTCCTATAATTCTATGTATTTATTTATAATTAATAAACATGGTAATTTGAAATTCAAATATGTTCATGTGCTTTTCTGACATTCTAAGTGCTGTATGCAACTAAGACAGAAGAAACTATTCTAGAAAGATAGTAGAGTAAAAGCCACATAGAAGAGCGGGGATTGAATTTACAAAATTATGGCATGTAACACATAAACTCTCAGTGAAAAGTTTTAAATGGTAAAAAGCAACAAAGTCGTACCCATGATAGCTTAAAGCACATTGCAGAAAAAAAAAAAAAAGGAATTTAGATGAATAAATTTAAAAATAAGTGTTTGTTAACTGAAGTAGATTTGACTCAAAGAAACCAAACAAACAAAAAACATGAGAGAATGACTTTTGACTAAATATGTCAGAAAGCTGCATTAATGCCACTGAACCTCCGCAGAAAAAATAGTCTGCCAGAAAGCTTAGTGTGGAAAACAGTGACAGCATACTTCCACTTCAGGCTTCACAATGCATATGTTTTAAGAATATTTCAAAAATTAGGGTTCAGAGAAAACATACACATTTCTGCAAAAAGTAGCTACTGTTCTTCAAAACAATACTAGACATGTGTAGATTCATCAGTTTGCAAATGACAGTGTCAGGGCCCCTGAGAATACCATAGCCTAAACACTGGTAGAGCTGCTAGCTACATTGAGATTTAGCACTTACATTTCTCCATATGGTTAATAAAACAATATTTAGAATCCAGTTATTTCACCATGGTTTCTTCACCCTCTTACTATCACAAATATGCACTGTTACATTGCATTGCTGTTACAGTAACAAAATTTTACACACAATTTTTAAAATTCAGATAGAGAATATGTATTATTGGTGATAGATCAAATTCCCACACTCTGTCTAGTAAAACCCATAAGAAATCCTAATTACAGAGTATATTTCCAAAATTATATGCTATAAATCTTATCTTTCTAATATTGGCCTCCATTTTCCTTAGGAAATGTTTTTGGGTTCACAGATTACTAAAAATAATTTCCCAGTCATACAATGTATTACTGAATCTATTGCTGATGTTTCTCTTTGTAAAGTGCAATGATGACATGCCTTAGGGTAGCTATACTCAAGGTCATACTCAAATTTATTGCCTTTATAGGCATGTCTATACTGTGGGCTATTACTCACATGTCTGAGTTACTTTGCCTTGAGAAACAAATGAGCAGGAACATTTCGTTCAAGTCCCATCATGATGGTACAGACACACATGATATACCAGCAGATTTCATTCCATCACTAAAAACAGTCAGTATCTCATTTTGCACCTGGCTGTAACCTTTAGCTCCAACTTTTTATTTTACAAAGTGCCCAGCATGAATGGTCTCAATTCCTTTCTTCTTTATGGAAAAAACTGTTATGGCTTGCCTTGCCATATATAATTAAATTTCATACTGGACAGTCCAGAAGGACTCAGAAAAGAAGCTCTCTGAGAGGATATTGGAACCGGCTGCCCAATGGGGTTGTGGGGTCTCCTTCTCTGGAGAGGAGAAGTCTTGCCTGGACGCCTACCTGTGCGACTTGTTTTAGGGAACCTGCTTTGGCAGGGGAGTTGGTCTCGATGATCTCTAGAGGTCCCTTCCAATCCCTACAATTCCGTGATTCTGTGATATGTGCTCAGCTAGGAACTCTAGGAACCCCTGCTTGAAGAGGGTTTTAAGATTAGAGTATGTATGCAACATGAATCTATATTTTGTCTGAAACTTAGATAATCATATACTATCATCTTCACTTTCTTGAGTGCACGGTATCAGTAAAATCCAGCATCGTCTTTCCCCACAATCTGCTCATCTTCAGCTATTTAAGCCATTGATTTCAATAAGAAGTGAAAGCTATGCTCACTGCAGAATGCTCACTGTGTTGAAGGAGGATTTCTTCAGGACCGTGGAAAAAAATCATACACACCAGGCTGTCACTATTTTATCTATTGCCTTCAATAACATGAGCACATGTGCTAACAGATGGAGACTGTTTAGAATGGACAAAATGAATTAATCATTGTTTCTCTATTCATCAGTTTGGTAGATAGTCTCTGCCAGAATCTTTGGTATTTCCTATGTATGTAAGGATTGAGATATTTTCCAGACGTCACATCTTTCACATCTAAAGAAAAATTCTAGATTAAATTTAATTTCACTGTGTATGTGACATGCATGGTGACAAGAGCATGCATGTGACATTCTAACTTCAAAGTCTGTCAAGAGTATTTGCTTTCCATTTCTACTATAGCAACAGAACTCACCTAAGTTTTTGTCTTCTCAGATTTACTGGCTTTTTAGAGTAGGTACTGCTATCCTTTAAAATAATAAAAAAAAAACCAATGGAATTGTGGCTATATACAGCTGCTCAGGAATATAATTGCAGATCTCCTAAGCTCAAGGACAAACAAGCACAACATAGAGCCTGCTTCTGTATCTTGAGTTCAAAGTCCTGATAATTAATTCTGAAGGGGAACTTAATTCTAAGATTCCTACATCTCTAGATATAGGCTGTTTCTTTCAGGTGACTCACTATGAACAATAAGAGCATACATAGAATTATTTAACTGAACAACCTTCTGAACAGAAAACTTGGCTAAAAGCATAATCAAAAAATTAGGTGTATACAAATTAGAATCTCAATCTTTTATTTCCCTTCCAGATCAGTATATATATATATATATTCTTTCCTTTAAAACAATCGTAGAACTGCTCAGGTTGGAAAAGACCTTAAAGACCGTCAAGCTCAACTGCAATCTAACCATACTACCCTAACTCTAACAACTCATCACTAAATCACATCCCTAAGCACCACATCCAAGTGTTTTTTAAATACATTCAGGGGTGGTGACTCAACCACCTCCCCGAGGAACCTACTCCAGTGCTTAACAACCCTTTCTGTAAAGAAATTTCTGATATCCAACCTAAACTTACCTTAGCACAACTTAAGTCCATTTCCCCTCATCCTGTCACCAGTGAAAAGATACCAACCCCACTCACGCTGTAAGCACCTTTCAGATACTGGAAGAGTGAAATAAAGTCACCCCTCAGCCTCGTCTTCCCCTGCTAGTGTGTAATCAATGAATATAAGGATGCTGTAATTAAGAAATATACAGTAAAAAACCTAAACAGGCTATCACTCTGAAGAAGAATGGATGGAAAGCTTACCCCTGTTCTGGGCTCACTGAAAAGACTCCAAGAGGAGCAATTTCCAAAAGAGATCCTTCCTCCCTTGTAGTCAGCTCTTAAATGGGTCTAGGAGAGGTGGAGCTAGGCTCCACTCCCTTCTGATAGCACAGGAGAATTGTCTTCACCTGTGCTCCCAGGGCTGACTCATTGCTTGCCTCAGGTGGTCAATCAGAGGTTCAGGTCATGATTCAGCAGTTCCCATACAGCCAGACTAAACAACTCCAGTTCCTTCAGTTGCTCCTTGTAGAGCATGACTTATAAGCATCAATTACTACTAGTTGAGATGATGTACAAGGGCTGCTGTGAAAGTAACATCTATTTTATTATGTTGGCCAGCAACATCAGAGGTGGATGTTTGTGGTATGGCAGTAGGGGCTGAACCTTCTGACCAATGTTCTGTTACGTGCTGTCAGCACGTGACAGATGGCAGTAGAGGGGCAGCCTGACAAAATGTATCTGACATGGAAGTACATATGAAGCAAAGGTGTGTCACTGAATTCCTTCACATAAAAAAATGTTACTTGTGCAGAATGCAGGCTTTTGTTCATCACGGGTGAAAATGCTTAGCTAATGATGGTCGCTATGTTGAAACTAGCTGAGAATTTGCTCTGTGACAAGTTGTTGTGTTTTTCTATCTGTTGTAGTTTCCAGGGAAATAAACAGGAGCCAGTACTTTAAGAGCAACCTACACATCTCTACCTTTTAAGCCTGCACCTGAAGTTAGATTCTTACTCCTATATAAAAGGCCTTATATATATTTATAACCAGTTAACTTTAAGTTAGTCTGATTATATCAGATGCGTCCAGTCTCTATACACATCATTCAATGGACTTCTTTATAGACTATTCTGTCAAAACTAAATAAACTCTCCTAAGCTCAGTGACAAAGGAATCATTAAAGTAGGTTACTATTCTTCTGAGGACTTTCACTGTCAGCCTACATCTTTGAATTGGGTACAAAATATTTTTTAGATTTTAGGGAACAGTTCATTTTCTAATTGTCTGTAAAGAGAGCAATGGTGTGCAATGATCAGCTGTTAGTGATATTCCTGCTAGTAGAATATAATAAAGGCTAGTCTTTGAAAAAAATTATTTTCTAAAATACAAACTAAATCTTCCCATACATTCCCATAATGCTTTCATATGCCTCAGTTTAACAGGTCAGGCTACTAAAAAAAATATATACATATGTAAATATATATATCACTCCAAGTTTCTAATTTGACAGTGTCTTCCAGTTCTGGTACGGATAGAATTTCTTTGGAAAAACCTCTTTTTTTCTGCACTTCCTATCTCAGCTCATTTAAATGCAGTATCTTGGATTATATAAAAATCTATGTCAACTTGTCCTTCATGTTAGGCGTTCTGATCACTCTAAGAGTATTCACGGGCCATAAACCTTTTTTGGAGTGGAGAGTACTATTCAAGCTGTAACACAGAAGAAAATATTTTATTCCTCAGCTCTATTCACTTTTCAACTTTTGACTGTTTATTGATTAAAACATTATACTGACAGCCCTGAAGGAAAATCCCTCTTTTTATTCCTCACAGCTTTATCAATTTTTCCACATTGTTTTAGGTAGGACCTAACTCTAGAAAATCACTTTAAATTTATGAATAATCTCATTTCATGTAGATTATTCATGTGCACAACTCTCAGCAGTATAAAAGGTTGAAGGCCTCAATTAACAATGTAAGCATATCAGGCGTAGAAAAGGAGAGAGTTTAATTTCAAATTCCTTTTTAATACTGTGTTGAGATTTGGTCATAGCTGAACATTCATCTGTTAGACTAGTAGCACTACCATAAATTCCAATGACCACTCTGCCCCTGATGTCATCTTATGTGCATATAACTATTAGAAAAACATTAGAAAGGAATAAAAGAACTGTATTGTACCCTATGAGGTAATTGAGGTAATACTGGGATTTTCTTCTTCTTCTTTTTTTTTTTCCTATCTGTCATTATTTACTACAGCTCTTGTATGGAGTTGGCTAAAAAAAATAAATAAATAAAGAACCAAAATGTCATTAAAGCAAATTAACAATCAAGTTTGTGATGCAACTACTTTGAGACAAATCTGGTTTAATTCCTTGATACCCAATACATATTAAGTTTTCTCATCTGTGACATAATTGGTCATTACAGTTTCTATAATGTAAGGAGGAAAATCACTGCAGCGTTTTATGATACATTCCTCTTTTGTATCATGTTTTATGCAAAACATAACAAGAAGATGTGATATAGGTATCTACATAGTTTATATATGTATATATATATATACTGCACACAGTATACATAGATGCGTGTGTGAATACTTAGATATATTTTTATGAAGAGACATATACTGGGGGAGGAGGGAGTGGTGCACTTAATTTTCAGTTGTCTACAGAACATCAGAATCAGTCCAGTATTTGAACACTTTCTAATTCCCACTATTTCCTAAAAGCTACAAGCCATAAAGCCACTGAGCACAGTGGAGTCACAATAAGTTTGCAAAGCATTTCCTCTCCCTTCTTTTTCCATCCTAATCTGTGAAAAGATTCTTATTTATTCACATTACTTGACTATTTTTCTACTCTGAAAAAAAGTACTGCCTTGAGGGAACATTAAAGCCTTTTGAAACACATTCCCATGACCAACAATGGGATACAATGAAAACAAAGTAAATACAATTATATTTACTGCTCATAACTGAACTACAGAATTCACGATGTGAGATTTGTTATGAGTCTTAATGGAAAATTTCTCTTAGTTTTAGGCTGATATTCTTACTCATAGAATCACCGAGGTTGGAAAAGACCTCTAATATCATCCAATTCAACTGCCTACTTACCACCAATATTTCTCACTAAACCATGTCCCTTAGTATCTAAACATTTCTTAAACACTGCCAAGGATGGTGATTCCACCACCTCCCTGGGCAGCCCATTCTACTGCCTGATCAAGAGCACCATAGGGAGAATAAACTTACTCTCTTAGTAAGGAGTGTAAGTTAGTGAAATGACTAAATTAAATACTTTATGGATAAATTTCCTTTCAGAATACAAGAAAGGTGAATTTACAAAAAAAGATGATTTAATTATACATACTCAAAGTAAAGTGGAATGAAAACATTATTTAAGAGTTGAAGAAAACTTAGACTTGAAGTAGTAGCAGTACCTACTCTAGACCTGTTTTCCCCATCTTGCTCCCTTTTTGCATTGACAAAATCAATATTATGTCTTTGCAGAAACAACAAAATACTCACCTACATCTTTGTGATTCAGGATTCATACACACAGCTTATGTTCATGATATCATATAAATATAGAACTACTACACATTTGTTTTTGATTGCCACTTCAGTATCCCTTTCACTAGAAAGCTAATCCAGGTTTACCAAGAAACCCTAATTTTGGTTAGGCTGGGCTAACACTAGCATACCAGTAAATACCATGTAAACTGTACTTGCATGTTTTTTTTCTTAGCTTTCATAGTTTACTGCTACAGCTTCTATTATTTCCAGATGACAGGACACAGTGCTGAAATATATGGGAAAATATGGTTAAATTAATGGGCTTCCTGCAAACTAAATCATTCTAAATCATAGAACATGGCTTCTGCATTATCACATGGTTTCTTAAAAGCAAAAAGGCAAATCACAGTGATGGAATTTCCTTAAATAGGTTATCTGGTGAACTGAATCCTGCACAGGTAGAGAAATATCTTACATTCTTGCACCTGATGCATATGCCTTCTCTAAGAGATCTTTATATCTGTTTTAAAGTCATAGGCAGAGAAATTATACTCCCACTGGATATATTACCAATTCCACAACACAAGTGCGAAGATTCTATCTAGACTAAATGTGGTGTTCAGCTTTTGTCATTTAAAAGTGTTCAGATGTTCTTCAATAGATTAAAGCTCACAATCATAATACCTGTGGCAAGAGTTTGGATTTCTTCACACAGGAAATTAAGACTGGCTGTTATTAATTTTCAGATGTCAGAAGGATGAAAGAAAAATACATACTGGGACTTGTTAATTACTAGATCTTAAAATTGCACCCACCCTAAATGGCCGTCTGTTGCTGATCTAACAGAAAAAAAGAATATATATATTTAAAATAATTTTCCAATCATTGGAATACTTTCTGAGGAATATAAAAAACTTTCCAATACTAATGCCTTCTACTTATTTCCATGAAAACTACAAAATATACACCAGTTGGTAGAGCAAATTCTCAGCTACAAACTACTGTATTTTAACACAGTTACCACCAGCTATGCATTTTCACAAGTGATGAACAAAGCCTGCATACTAGTAAGAATATGCACCAGCAGAAATGACCCATTGTTGCTGTTGCCACTGCTGAAACACACCACTGCCTCACTATGCTCACATTCACTATTTAGCCTCCATGAATGTTCAGCAAGTGTCAACAAGTGTTAATGGTTTCATTTTTTTCAGCATAGAGAATTTCATTTCCATATCTTTGCTTCATACACACATAGATGTCAGATGCCATTTAGTCAGACTGCCTCTCTGCTGCTATCTGCCACACAACAACAAAAAAAAACCAAAAAAGATTAGCAGAATACTGGTGGGAAGGTACAACCTTTACTGCCATATCACCAATCCACCACTGATGTTGTGAGTAAGCGTAGTAAGATAGAAAGCATTACTTTGGGGATAGCCCTCATATATCTCCTGACTGTTATAAATAACTGTGTCTCTTCTGTTAGATTTGGCATAAAAGATTGTTTTTTTTTTTTTTTGTTTTTGTTTTTTTTTTGTTTTTTTTTTTAAAGAAATGTCAACATTCTCCCATCATTATTTTTTTCTAGTATTACTGAAGATGCAAAAAGCTACTGGTGCTCTAATAGCTTTAAAACGTATTTTGAAGGGTATAAAGACACCAAGGAAAACTCATGATCTGCCTCTGGGAATATTCTATTTCTGTACTGACTGAGAAAACACTGCATTTGCTGCACATTTTTCTGTTTTATTACTGTATTTTTCTTTTTCTT